TTCTTTCTTACAAGTTTATTTATTTATTTCTTTGGCCAAACAAACCGAAATAATTGGGAGGCAGAAAAAGGCTGTATTTGCATACGAGTATACGAGACACCAGATATATAGTTACTGCAAATTAGCATAAGGTTCAACGGCATTGTAATTACGGTCGGAATACGGGTGAGGTTTTAAAATTAAAAAGGACCTCGGATCCTTTTCTTTTCGTGAGATATTTTAAGAGAAATAAATCGTTACCTTGTTGATTGTTAATTCTGTTATAAATTTCCATATTGTCTATTCGAATTTGGATAAATTATATTCATGGAAGGAATAGCTGAGATCGCTATAGTAGATGAGCCTCACGTACTGCCTAAATGTAAGAAAACAAAGAAGTTTTTCTTTTTAATTGAAATGACAAAATTTTTGAAGCTAATTACATGAAATGACAAAATAAATTCAAAATTTTTGGAAATATTTTTGAAGCTAATTTGTCTACTGTGTAAATACTGGTTGTGGTATTAGCATGTATCCATACACTTTATCTACTATATCAAGGACAATAACAAATTTCCAGGAAGTACTTGAATGTCGCGAAGTTGAAATTCCTAAGCCGGAAGTAGGTGTTCAAACATGAACGGTTTCGGCGCGGTAAGTGACGTCACTCTCGCTATTGTACCTGCATTTTGCACGATTACTTACAATATTTTTACGGCATATTGTTTAGATGGGAATTTAATAGAGGGTAAGGTTCCTATCTACTATAGTATCAGTTAGAGATCACTGACGTATTTGATATAAACAATTAAACAAAACCTACTATTACATGATGACTGAATTTCAAGTTAAACGAGTGTATATTTTCCTTGATAGGATAGGAACAATTGTATTCATACGGCTTTCAAAGACCCTTTTCAAAGAAAGCCCCTTGATCAATAAAAGAACTTAAGGATAAAATATATAATTTCTTATAAATGATAATAAACCATTTAAAAATTCTACTCTACTATTGTTTTCCCAGACTACACCATAGCATTCACGTTGCTATGAGAACAATATTGTCATAAATAGAGGGGACTATGAAATATGATATTTAGTAATTGCAATTGCTCACGCAAATGTATTCATATAAACCAACCAATTCAAACCAACCAACAAATGAATTAAATTATAGGTGTTCTATACATTTTAGCACCTATCCAATTGACATGGCTGAAGTATTAATAAAATAAATCAACGCAAAAACATCCCATCATTCCATCCCAGCCGCAGATCATGCATACCCACCGAAATGAGTTATCTCCGGCTTGATTTAAACGCATACAAATAAACGGAAATTTATTTTATTTAAGTCATATTTTTGCAAAATTGCACATGTCATGTTGGTGGATATGACATTTTAATTAGTATTTAATTTATATGCTATTTTTTATTATGATTAAATTACCAAACGGCATCGAACTGCGTATGCATATGCGGAAACTTATGTTCAATTTGCAATAAAACACAGTTATACTTGAATTAAAAGAGACTATATGAACGGTTCATTTGTTATTTGTTTTGTTATATATTTATTTGTATGTTACTTTTAGAATTTATTGACATAAATATAGTATGGAAGTAACTTATATAATTATAAAGCAACTTTATTTTTGTGACATGTGGAATGGATTGATAATATATGGAATAAGATGGTAAACCTATATCAAAAAATGTTCTTTCCGTTAAACTAGTTTATTATTACTCATCTATATAATATTACATATTATATAGAATATAATAATAAACTATTTCATTTCACTGAATATTTTCTTTTAATTGTAATGATGATAGTTATTATAAAAACTGGAGAAAAAAAGTAAGGTAAATTTAATCTTATGAAACTGTTCCATTTATTAAAGAACTAAGTATATAATATTATAGCGTGTGGCAATGATATAGGAAGCTCAAATCAGAGACAAAACGTGTGGGTTCCGTGACAAGCGAACTGAGCGTAGGTAGTACGCGGTTATGAACTTAAGCCGATGAAATATAAGCTTATACTGGCGTTGCAACGACATGGTAATGTTTTTCATTATTTATATATAATTTTAGATGTGAAATTGACAATATGAAGCGATTTCTTTACTTAATAATCGTTGTGTAACTTTGAAATGTCGACCTTATTAAATTTACGTTAATAAAACGGTCAATGTACGGTTAAATATATAAAATAATATGTATTTATTTTTACGATTGCTAGAGTAAATAACGAGAGTGGACTTTTATATTGCTACATATTTTTTTCTTTTAATTATAACGTTTTTAGCATAGGTTTTATGAAAAACGTATAGTTATTCACAATCTGATACATTTAAAAATATTGTTCTTATATTTAAGTACTATTATTAATTCTATTTTATGATAATCTTCAAGGTGTTAAGTGCGCTATATGTATTTTTTGCCTTCTGTTTTATGTGCATGAAAGTTAAATAAAGAAATACATAATCTGATACTTCATTCATGAATATACTGTTAAATCCGTGAGAATTAGAGTAATCCCATATGTTATCCAATATATTAATTTAATCTGGCGTCATTGAATAACCAATATTTAAAACTTTCAAATTTGTAATAATAATTATAGTATTTATATGGGATGTTTTCACACTTTACTAATTTATAACAACCCATAGAGTACAACGAACGCAAAATATACCACCTTTTATTAGTTAATTATCGGTTCCCACCGAAACGGGAGAGACCTCTAATTAGAAAATCCGACTTTTAGTTCGATATCATCGTATTTTATCAGCAGTTAAAAGAAGTTTATATCGCCTCAAAATTTTTCTTCAACTGTCCAAGTTTATATTAATCGGAGTTGTAACTATCGACAATTAATGTTTGAAATTAATTAAAAATCAATTAAAACCTACTACCAAATTTGATACGGTTCGAGTTGAATCTTTAGTTTTCGTTATGTAACTGCGTTTCAGTGTTGTTTAAGTTGAAGTTTCGTATAATATTTTCTATCATGTGTGAAATCTATTAGGTTATTAACGGGTTTAGTAATGTAATGGGTAAGTAAGTAAACCAACTTAAAACAATGCTCAAACCCAATAACATTTACAAAATCGAATGAAATATCATTACAGATAATTCTACTAGAAATGCAAATTGTTAAGTAGATACAAATTTAACTAAAATTTATTAGGATAGATTAAAAGCAGTATAGTGATATTTTGTTTCGGTTAAAATGAGAATGAACAAAACCGAATTAGAATTGAAGAGGAGTCCGCAGAACATAATTATTACACACAAATAGATTCAGTCTCCTTACCGTTATTCAATTAACATTAAAAGAATCGAAATGAAGTATGAAATTATGGTCTAACAAGTTTTTAGTTTTGTTAACCAAGGTTCAAAAAGAGTATGATTAACTAATATAGACAAATGTATTACACTGTGTTAAACTACAATAATCAACAATGTCAAATGAGACAAATGTATTAAACTTCAATAATCTTAGTGTCTACATTCAAGGACGGTATAGTTAAAAAGAAATATAAAAATTAAATGCCTAAAATATCCTACGTGAAAAAAAGCTTTCAAGTTTGAGTTTAACAAGAGATGTAAAATGATAATCATCTGACCGACCTTGTCAGATAACCTTCCCAGATCTCGATTTTAGAATAAAAGTAAAACCACAAGGGCACAAGTGGATGGACAATAAAGGCGTGATCCCAACTGGTTTAAAACTTATCGCTCCTGTTGACCTGCCGGGATTATGATCTTAATTATGAAAGCATCAGAGTTGATTTCGGCTAGAAAATTAATTTGGAATGTAAATACCTACTTATACCTACTATTTGTAAAATAATATTTTAAAAGAACTTAAAACAGCTCCAATATAAATTCTGGAATTGGTAGACCATCCAACAAAAATATAGAATTTAAATTAGGAAATGATGATTTGGCATGTCTGTAGCATATTACAAGATAAGTTATAGGATAAATAAATGTAATTGCTATATTCTTTTTATATGTAAAGATAAAATTAACTACTAGCAAACACTTGACAAATGTTAGTAGTAATAAGTATTCAAAATTTGCAACATCTGTTGAGAGTCCAATTAACTTAAATTTTTACTGAACTTATTTAAAGTTTCTCTCTCTCTCCCTCCCTTTAATATTTATTTTTGCACTCTGAAGAGTGTAAGAACAAATATTGAAGAAGACAAAGTTCTAGGGCATGCTTATGTTTAAGCAATAAAAGCGTAAATTTATACTGTTATGTTATATACTACAAATTTTAAAATATATTATAAAGCCATTTTAGAATTGTAATACGTACAGTAATAAAGTCTATTAGCCAGTTCTAGAATACTTAAAATTGAGAGTAACTTATTCATAATAGCCCTATGATTGATACCTTATTATACGTCCGATATAGCATGATGAATAATAAATTCATCTTTATTAAACTTTAAAGCTCATACGGTTCATCAACTTTGAAAGCTTTCTATTTAAGATACCGGTTTTCATGTTCTTTCATATCGAACACAAAATCACTTGTATGCTAACAACTGGATAAACATCGTTATTACGGGAATCTAATTCAGATGTATTGGATCGGTCTTGGAGCGTCACATTTAGCGTGTCGCGTCGTTATTGATGCAGGCACCAATGTGTTGTCACTGCCACATGCCAGATAACGGTCTCGGATCGTAGCCTAAATATATTTTACAATCTCGTTTTATTACATTATCAAATAGGCGATCGAAAGGGCCATGCGCCCACGCGAGCGTGTTAGTACGCCTGTCAAAATCACGACCTACTCAAATGAAATTCCCGCGTAAAAACGAGAAGAAATTTCATACAAAGGTGGGTTTAATCTGTCGCCAAGTCACGACCGTTGTATCGAGCTATCGCCAGATTTGTCGGGTGCAGTGTTCAGCCGGTGTCGTGCTGGGCGATGGGAGGGGAACGGGGTGCCACGGTGCTACTGCCGGCCGCGCGTCATTCGCCGACGACGCCGGTTTTGCCCTCGCTCACTTCAGTCTGTCGTTGATTCGACCCATTGGTACACGTGTATTGTATCATTCGCTTTCAATCGTGTGTTCGACCCAAACTTGTGACAAAACTTGGTGCACTACAGTTCTGAGTGAATCGGATTATTTGCAGTGTTCGTAACGTTAAACAATAATGAATGTGTGTTCTTAGTGATTACAATTAAAGGTTCTGGAATTTCGAGCCGATGGTCCTCTTGAATACTAACATGAAAATAAATGGTAAAGTTCTAAAATGAATGTTTGCATGAGTTCTATTGGATTTGTTCATTATCAAATTTTGTATGCTATTGTTTACATGAATGATGATCTTGGCTTGCACGAAAAAAATAGATGTTTCATGACAGCATCCTGCAGAAAGCATTAAATTCATTCGAATATTTAAACGAGCCCTGAGATACATTATCCGGACCACCAAAAAGGCAAAACAATGGTGGACCTTGTGTCTGTCAAACGACATTGACTCTGAATGTAAATTTGAGTTAGCATGAACAATGAACATAGTGAGTTAGAAGTCGATATATGAATAAAGGTTTGTGTGTGTGACCCTGCTGCGCCTACGGGACCAGCCGCTGTGGGTGGACGACATAGTTCCAAACCGCCTAGAATACGACAGTGGGTGTTTGAATGGAGCCAGTTAATAATAATGGTGAGATTTAATCACCGGCATAGAGGTTACAAAACAGAGCTATACGCATGTAAAAATCTGTAGAAAAGAATCATTTACAATAACATTGAGACTAACGAAATGCTTAAAAGGCAGTAGTGAATCTATATCAGCTTGTAGTTTACGTAGGTACTAACCATTAATATCGTAATAATTATTTCGTTGTGCCATATTTTTAGTTTCAATTTTATCAATTCTTCTTAAAAGTACAAATTTATCTTTTCAACTAGTATAAAATAAATTTTAAATCTTTCAAGAACTTTGCCAGATGAAGCATAAACTTCACATATGTTACGAAATTGACCTCAGATGTTTAGAGACAAAAAACAGAGCACTCTTTTGCACACATGTTTGATCCTTGAAGGTAGGTACCAAAAACTCTGAGTAAATAAACTCACATGCTCCTTTACGAATGTAATGAAAAAACAGGCTACAAACTGAAATAACAAAAAGCCAAAATAGTATTGAATTGAATAGACACCAACGCACCTAAATCATAACCGCAGAGAAGAAGGAAATTTAATTAAACAATGGATTACCAAACGTAACTCTGTTATTAGAGAACGCATCTGTTGTAAATGATAAATGCGCTCGGTGAGAGAACAAAAAAGTTAATTTATTAAACCTGCACAAGCGAAGGCGGCACGTGGGCCGGCAGATGTGCAAGCGCATCGTGGGGTCTGGGTAATCCATAAGCACTTCTTTTATATTGTGTTTCTTAATATCTATAATAGCATAAATCGTAACATGCTATTTTTAAAAGTTGTTCTTTATAGTAAAACGTAATATTTATTAGACATTTAATTTTCAAATAAAACAACCACAGATTCGCAAGAATGGTGACTATCCAAAGAGGTCAAGTCCGGCTCGAAGGACCGAGTTTTTCCACCATTTATGATCGGCAATGTCCCGTAGATGGTCATAGCCATTTATGGCAACTTGCTCCAGCATCGACTTAGTATTGACAACTGTGGGATAGTCGACATCTTTCGTCGCCTTGACTATAACTACGATAGTTATCTGTTCTTTAAAAGTTTTCTTATTTTTTCTACATAGTTAACATACAGTAATATAAGTACAGTATAGTAAACATAATATTTACTATATAATTTTAATAACCACAACGCATCTTTCTTATCTTTTAATTATAACAAAAACACATTAAGATTTTTCTTTTTGAATATACGTGTCCAATGAAAAATGTAACATAAGTCTCCTAATAAGTTCAACTTAACATTTCAAAGCAGTCGTAAAACATAGTAACAAGCTCAAACAATTTGCAAGGAAATGTAATACAATACTTCCATTTTAGAACCGTATTGCCAGTAACACGACGCGGTAAACACATTGTAAAGCTAACTCAAACAATTCTTGGTTGATGCTAAACTTTACCTTGTATTTGAATAATTGCCAAGAACCCCACAAGAATATTAATATGGTTTTACATTTAATTGCTGAATTATACTGATAAGAGCAATATTGTACCATTGGAAACTAGATATAACACCGGATACATTTCTAAATATAGTTCGAATTAAATGTTTGAAGGAAGATTTAAAGGACACAGCTGTTAATGTGAACCGGAATAATAATGACCTAAGCCATCAAAACTTGGCACGTTCCACACACCTGCCTGACAGCTGCCAAATTTATAACAAAATTACTCCCTACGGATACCATATAAACACGCAGATGGTATGCATCTAAAAGGCGTTTCAATTGCCTCTTGTACATGTACAACTTGATCGTATGATGATGAGATTTAAAGATATCAAAGTTGGTTCAACTACGATAAACCTCAATTTGGTAAAAAGACAAGATATTAAAATATAAATTAGAACCGTGATTTAATCTTCTTATTTCCGATGAATGGCATCATTAGGATGTCTAATACAATTTCTGTGCCAGTGTAATTCACTTTAAAAATCTTTACGAATTAATTTACTATGTCGAAATTCATTCCTTAAAACGCGCCCAAAGCGAAACCTCTTAGCGGAAAGTGTGGCAGACGAGGCCATTTCTAATATAATTAATCTCATCCCACCTTTAATCTCCAATTTCCCTCTCGAAGTAATTGAATAGGCTACATTCAAGCTCTGAAAATTGCTTGGCGCTTAACCTTGCAGGTTTCTTATTATCGTTTATTATCACTTTTATTTTCGTTTACTATAGTAATTTAAAACATGTTTTGCAATTCAATGAACGTAGATTTGCTCATCAGAAATGTTGATTGCTATAAATACGATGGCCCACGTCTAACACCCACATTAAAGTATCTAATCGAGACATCTATCTAGTAGAAGTAATATCACGTCTCGGACAGGCTGCTTCCAAAGGAAATAGAGCTGGAAATAAATCGCCCTTACCCCGAACTTATTCTAAAATAGTCGAGCATTCACGTCCTCCATTTCTCTACCTCCATTACCATATCCTGTATGCTCCAATGTGTTTGTTATAAATAGTTGCTATAATATTTCACCTGAATATTGCAGTATAGGTTCTAATGAGAGTAAATGATTGCTTTGCTTGATTTACGTTAGTAACAAATTTAGAATCAGATTAATCAATAAAAATTATATTTATCATCGCGCCGAAAAGGAAATTTTAACGCTGGATATTACAGACTTAATTCATTGCGTAAGTAATAACAGTTAATTAGGGGCCGGAAGGTACAAACATAATTTACTTCACGCCAGAGTTCCAATATTGCTATTATATGGCATGACTCGGACATTGCTCGGGGGGCGTTGATGACATTACATCGTTAATCACTTCCATTCTTCGTTGCTGAAATTTTGATTTTCAATTTGAATGGCCACAAACAATAACAAATCCAATAACTTGATAAATGTCTGTGGTTAATTAAATGTTTTTGTTGACGCGTCGTTATCTCTTTTATATAGGAATGGCTTGTAATGATTTGTATGTGTCTGTATTCTCAAAGTTGACAGTCGGATGTGAAACTTTTTTTCTTTAATTTTTAAAACATTCTCACGTGTTCATGTTTTTTTTTGTTATCCTGTTTGTTTCGAATAAATTACTTGGTGGAGTTATTACCACAGATGTTGGTTCTTTTTTGTTGTTTCCTCTCTTTTGTATCTTTATTAATGTTGTAAATACTAAAGTACATAAGAAAAAAGTCCTAACAACATAATTTATTTAAGTATTGTTTGCGCCTGTTATTATTAGTTCTAAAACGCACACTGAATAAATCATGATGTCTTTTCTGTGATAGTATTTAGTTTAATTATTTGAAAAGTATTTTCTATTTAATTAAAGTATTATGTTTTTCAAATTCTTTAAAATTATTTTATTATGCTACTAAAATAATGTGTATTAATTCAGCGATGAAAATTCAAGTAGAAGTTACATTGAAAGTCTTATGTTTTTTTTAAAATAACAATATATCTTTGTGTTGTTATTTTTATGACATGTTTGTTATGTTATTACACAGAAATGTTGTTTCAACTTGCAGTGAACACTAACAACATTCAAATGTAACTAGAAACTCTATTTGTTATGCCTTTTTTATGTTACAACTCTCGTGTTATTTTTATTGGACTTTATACAAGTTTGTTCTCCGACGCCTTACGACATATCTCACTTTGATATATCGCTTATCATTTCTTTATCGTATTTGAAACAAATTCAGGAAAACTAGTTATCTGTAGTGATATACGATGTTCTAAAAACTACACGATGCTGGCACTAAATCAAACATGTAGATTTTATACCATCTCTTTATTATTCAAACTAAATTTGATTCGTAAATATGCAACATCAACTTTAAATGCCCAATTACTGTTTGTTTTTGTGTTGATTCCGTTATAATAGTGGCCAAGTATTTATTAAATAAATATGTATAACTGTATGTCGATGCTTTCCTAACTGTATGAAAAAGATAGTATGTAAAAAATGATAAATGTTTGTAAATAAACTATGCTCCGTATATTCCGTTGGTAACAGAAAAGTTAACAAATAATTCTGCAATAATACGAGTACTTAATCTGAATCAAAATATATATTTTAGAGTTACATTTTAACAGCAACCAGATCACTGAACTTAAGGCTGTATGCATATACAGCCTTAAGTTCAGAACGAACAATTTTTTTTTATTTTTATACGGCATCATCATTTGTAGGAATTATATTTGATTTTAAAAATAAAACGGAACCCTTTAATAGCTTCATTTATTATTCAGACGATATACAAATTAATGTAGACATTTCATATAAGTTGTAAACATTATTTTGTCTGGCTGTAAAACACAGGTGGTCTACGCTTACCATGCTGGCAGTATGCCAGATTCGAACGGTAACTAATCACGGATCTTATACATTTAGGTTACTTGGAAATAAATTAACATTAACGTTTTTAACAATGTTTAAATGTTTTTTTAATCAAAGTTTAAATATCTCTACACAATAAAAATTAAGATATTTAGAAGTAATGTATATATATTTATTATACGTTACGTAAAAAATACAAATTTTAACTTAATCGTGAATCAAATAGAGATTAAATACATCTTTAGAAAATCTGTGTCTATACTAA